AAGAATACAAAACATTTCAATAATTTTTCCAGAGACTAATATATTGCTGTGACAATGTTTTAGATATATGAGGTCAAATAAAATATAGTCAGATGAGATATATTGTTAAAATTAATTTTATAAAATATTTCTTTTTACTTTTAAAAATATAGCTTTTAGAATGCATTTTATTTCAAGTAGCCAGTGCTGTCCTAGGTGAAATCGAAGACATTACTTTTCATCTCAAAGCTTGTCACCCGTCCTCCATTGGTACCTTCAGAGCCATGTGTGGATTCACTCCACCCACCTCTCATCTTGACATACCTCCTGGAAACCCTCTCATCTCACTGTTACCCGGTCCCATCTCCAAAACTCCACCACAAGCTTGAAATGTTTTGCCCACCATCCTTATCAAGAAATCTCTCCCTTTTTATTTCAACAGATCCTTATTTCCCACATCTCTTTCATGAAATCATCAGTTTTTCAATGAAGAAAACACAGTTGCATATTATTCACTTCTAGACATTCCAGTTTGGCCACAGAACTCATAGGGCTCTTATTTCTGATTGTTCCAACACTCATTTATTCATTTGTTCAACAGCATTCACTGGGCCCCTCCTAGAGGCCAGGGACTGTGCGTGCCGTGGGGGTTACTTAAAGATGTCAGTGCACAGACCCAAGGTGTTATGCAGAGTAACATCAACAGGAAGTCATAGATAAAACTGATGCTCTCCTGTCCTCAGACCCAGGGGGACTCTCTACTTGCAAACACCCTTCTGAGGAAGGATTTAAATGCAGTGCTCATGTAACATAAGTCTTCCCACTTGGAAACCTGAAACCTCCTGACTCCATATTAAACATTTCCCCTCTCTCACACTTTGTATTCTCCCTAGTGTTTCCCTGACTACCTTATAAACTCCATTTGTCTTTGTAGTTCCCGTTTCCTTTGCTGACACAGTATTAAACACCATGCTTTCATATAAATAAATATACACATATGCATGAGTGTGTGCTAAGTTGCTTCAGTCATGTTTGACTCTTTGCGACCCTATGGACAGTAGCCCACCAGCCTCCTCTGTTCATGGGATTCTCCAGGCAAGAATAGTGGAGTGGGTTGCCATGCCCTCCTCCAGGGGAACTTTCCAACCCAGGGATTGAACCCACATCTCTTATGTCTCCTGCACCACTAGCGCCACCTGGGAAGCCCCATATACATAAATATGTATGTTATATATAAGACTGTGTATATGTATAGTCATTTATTTTATACAATAAAGTAGGTACTATTACTGTTTCTATTTGAAGATATGAAAAACTGAGGCACAGGGAAGTAACTGATGTTACATGGACAACAAAGAAGCAGAATTTAAACCCAAGCAGCCTAACTCTAGAGCCAGAGTTCTTAAATACTAGGTAATCCTGTCTCAGAGGGAATACAAACACACACCAAGAAGCATGTAAGCTTGAAGCTGGTGAGGCCATCTGGTGCCAAGTGAGAAAAACCACACCAAAAATGAAGCCCATGTAGGGAAAGGAAAGCTCAAGGAAAAGAGGGAGAGACAGACTGAGAGACAATATGAGAAATGTATGAGATATTACTGATTATTTTATTTTTACTTATTTTATTTTATTGATATAAATCTCAAAGATAAGAAGCCAGAAACTAAACTACCTTTAGTCTTCCTAGTTATACAAGTAAATAGTCATTTGTAGCTATGGGTTCTTAACTGGAAGTCCAACAACAATTGTACACAAAGTTCTTTGTATAAAAACAGAACTATGAAACAATGTACATGCATATCTCTGGGTAGAATCTCAAAAGAGACCTTGATTCTATCTAACTGCTGTGCTTACAACATCTTAGCCAAATCTCCTCTGCCAGATCAGGTGGGGACACTTACAATAAGGTTGTTTTCATGTGATAGCCTATGCTCACATTAGGTCTATCCCTAGAGCTACACTACACTTACGAGGAGGAAAATAAGTTATTTCTCATATAAAGCTGAGTGCTACTGTGCCTAAAATCTTTCCATAAAGGATTTCTTAGTTACAATTTCTAATCATCTTTCAAAGTGCAAAGTGTGTTTCTGTTAAACATAACAGAATTGAAAATGCATGCTTGCAACCTAAGGGTCCATCAGTGGATGACTGGACAGTGGATGGAGAAAATGTGATACATCATACACACACAAACACACACACAATAGAATACTACACAGCCATAAAAAAGGAAACTGCCACTTGCAACAACACGGATGGAATTTGAGAACATTAGGCTAGGTGAAACAAATCAGGCAGGGATAAACAAATGCTATATGATCTCACTTATATGTGGAACCTGAAAAAGAAAAAAACCAAACTTATAGATGCTGAGTATAACACTGGTAGTTGCCAGAGCCTGGGGGTGGGGGTTGAGGAAAATGGATGAAGATAGTCAAAAGGTATAAACTTCTAGTTATAAGATAAGTCCTGTGGATATAATATATGGTTAGTAACACTATATTGTACATTTGAAAGATGCTAAGAGTAGATCTTAAAAGTTCTCATCACAATAAAAAGAAAATTGTGACTATGTGTGGTAATGGATGTTAACTAGACTTATTGTGATTATTTTGCAAAATATACAAACTTTGAACCATTATGTATACCTGAAACTAATATGTCAATTCCATCTCAATTTAAAAAAAAGAAAATGCGTGTTTATGTCAGTTCTTTCTCCAAATCCCACTAAAACGACCGTGTGTCAGTTCTGAATGTTTGTCTTCAGACCATTTCTCACTCTTCCCTTGTCCTCTGCTGTTATTCAGAGGGACCACCTTCTGCTGGGCTGAGCCTCCCAGGCTTCCGTAGGCTCAGCATCTAGGAGCACTGATAGGAGATGGCAGAGAGAAGAGAGAAGCCAGAGGATCTTCCCTCTCCCTGTCTGCCTCAGACAGGGGATCTGGCAGTGGTTGGGGCTCCTCTGAGACTAGCTACCACTAGACAGATGTACTCCGGTTCTCCAGCTATCGCCCAGTAGTCCTGACCCTCGGGCTTAGGTCACAGTACCACCTCTCCTGTCCCTCCAGCCAAGGGTAACAGAATCAGTAATTTACAGAGTGAAAAAAAAAATGAAAAAAAATTCCTGTGAAGAAAGAACATGGAAATATATTTTTAGAATCTGCTATCTTTCATTCGACAAAGAAAAGGATTAGGTACAAACAGAACCCAAAAAGAAAGAACTAGACTTACTGATTCTGCCACATCTCAGACGGTAAAGCATCTGCCTACAATGCGGGAGACCCAGGTTCAATCCCTGGGTCAGAAAGATCCCCTGGAGAAGGAAATGGCAACCCACTCCAGTACTCTTGCCTGAAAAATCCCATGGATGGAGGAGCCTGGTAGGCTGCAGTCCATGGGGTCGCAAAGAGTTGGACACGACTGAGTGACTTCACTCACAACACATGAGATGTTGGGGAAAATGAGGCCTTTCCACGCTCAGATTAATTCACTGTACCATTCTTCAAGCAATAATATCCTATGAGAGGCAAAAACAGCCCACAAAAAAAACTGAAGCCACAAGGTTTGGCCTGGTGTACCCCATGCCCACTTTAACAACTTAGAACCCAATGCCCTTGACTATCATCAAGGAAAGTAACCTGGTAAAATCACTAATGCTCTGTGGTTTCATGTTTTATCCTTTAGGCTTTACAGTCTGTCTTATTCAGAAGCATAATCACCTCCTGTACAACATAACAGTGACGATTTCAACAATAATTTAGTCTGTCCTGTGCCTCCCTGTCACCTGTGTGTTAGCGCCCCGCTGACACATGCTCGTGGTGCGGGGGCGGGGGGGCAGGGGAGGAATTAGGTTTAGATGAGGTCATGGGGGACCCCATGATGATGAAATTTGTGTTCTTATAAGAAGAAAGACATGAGCGTTTACTTTCTCCATCACCAAGAAAGGATACAGCAAGAAGGTGACTGTCTACAAATCAGGAAGAGGGTTCTCACCAAGAATCAAATTGACTGGCACCTTGATCTTGAGCTTTCCAACCTCCAGAACAGCCTTCAGTCTATGTAATTTTGTTATAGGTGCAAAAGCTGACTGTGAAAGAGCCACATTATTTTCTTCTCTATCTCTATCAGAAATGTAATATTATTTGCATGTCACAGACACCTTCCCTTACTTTCAGCCACCAGCCTAGATTCTGTTGCCTCTTCAGGTAAATTAAGCAACATGTCCATTCAGTGACCAGCCTGACTCATCAAGCATTCCCTAACTGTGGTCATGAGGGTTTGCTTGACCATCATTGTTGGATGGCACTTCTGCTATTAAGCTACACCCTAGGCATACTGTTGGGTTTGACACAATGCAAATAAATGGAAGCTTTCACTACAGTTTCAGAGCTTTTAATTTGAAAAAATTGAGTTCAGTAATTTAGTCACAGATTTAACTTAAAAAATGCTCCAAATCATATTAAAACCCACAAGATTTTGCTTTCTCTTGGTAAACAGACTTAATACATTGCCCTGATTTGTATCTCCCTTTAAGAGCAAATGAATTTTCCAGGAAATATGGCACTCTGCACTGGCAAACAGATGTAGGAATAAATTCTTTAAGTACCATTTAAGAAGTTTACTTGAAATTTTGGAGTTTCACACCAAAATGCTAACTATTAAATAGCAATCTGCTATATGCAATGCCGAGTGGAAGTCAGACGTGTATATGTGTGTATCCTGACAGTTTTTACATCGTTTTGATAAATTTCCTTTGCTCACCAGTTAAGTCACAAATCATACCTTATGGTTGTCATGTGAAGGCAGTAAAATATTATATACCTTCAGATGACCTCTATCAAGAAATGCTTTTCACTGCTCACATTTTATCTGTCAAATAGTATTTTCTTTAAGAAGTAAATACAAATGCCATTATTGGGAGAAGCTACCGGCCTAGGACAAGTTCTAGCATTTAGTGTTCTGACAGATCTTAATTTGGATATCAGCCAAAGTCAATAAAACTTGTTCATGCAGAACCTTACCTGGTTTTCACCACATCGAGAGGGTGCATCAGGCAAATTTCTACAAGACCTGAAAGATGATAAAGAAAAGTCCAATGAACACTTATGCAAAGACTGGTTCCTATTTTCTTGACCCTATTGGTTTCTCAAGTATGAAGATTCAAATAAAACACTTGGAACTTTGGACATGACAGGTAACAGAGGCTAATAGCAAAAGGCTAAAGTACAACAAAATTTTATTTCAATGAGAGTAAGATATGTGACTACTTTTTTTTAAAAAAATGGAGTATAAATGCTTTGCAATGTTGTCTTAATTTCTACGGTACAACAGTGTAAGTCAGTTATATGTATACATATATCCCTTCCTCTTGAGCCTTCCTCCAGGTCATCACAGAGCATTGAGCTACATTTTTATAAGTGCTCTGGCACAAGCAGGGATTTTAAATAGAGGAGTAATGCTAACTTCTATGAATAGCTCCCATCAATCTGATCATCTGTCCAGGAACGCTTCCACTGCTCCCAATCACATTTATTAACATGCCAACACATGAGTGGTGACGCTCCAATCCTCTCCCCTTTGGTAAATACACCACCTCTCTCATCACAGCATGGAAGTTCTGGTGTCCCAGGCACCTCTAAGTCTGAAAAGCCAATGCCCAACTAGAAGAAGAGCACAAACACTATCATGCAAGGATTTACTGTGAATGGTGAAAGAACAGTTTCTTCAGTATTCAATTCCCTGAGCTTTTCCTTCCCTCTGGAATGTTGTCCTCCAGTCAGGATACACATATATACACTTCTGAGAATACTACTTACCCCAGATCTCAATTTGGGCAATTATTTTCCCCAGAAATCCTGAGGCAGAGACTGTTAGTTGTCCGTTAGCATTCATCCTCTTTCTCTTCCTGGTTGCCCAGAATAAATGCATCATTTCCCAGCCTCACTTGCTGCTAGATCACCCCGTGACCAAGTTCTGGCCAATGGGAATGTAAGTGAAAGTGGTTTGAACAATTTCTAGGAAGTCTTTTAAAGTTACAGAGACTGCTCCTCCCCTCTCTTTTCCTACTTCCTTCTGGTGGAATGTGGACCTAGGGCAGAAGTCACCTTGCACAATGAGGTGATTTGGGGCCTGGAGGTCACACACAGCACAACAATAAGACAGAAGTAGATCTGACATTATGGAGTTCTGGTCTACCTTGAAACATCCATGTTAAAAATTTTCTATTTCTTTTAAACTACTGTTATTTGGGTTTTGTGCCACTTGTCCTTGAACCTAATTCTAACAGATACAGGTGCCCTTTGATGTGCTCCTGCAGTACCCTGGACTTGTGTTATTACATGGCACTGAAACTGTTTGCTTGTCCAAAAGCTCCATAAGGACAGAGATTCCACCTGCCTTATTCACCTTTACAACTCCACCACTTTGCACAGTAGCTGGCACTCAGTAAGCTCAATAAAAGTTTGTTGAATAAATAAATTAAGACTAATTAGGGTTCCTGCACATGCCATCATGCCAGTTAATTCTCCAGATGAATTCTTGAATTGGTAGCTGCTTATTCTAGATTTATTTCATTAGTTTGATCATCATAAAAAAATAGGGATAGAGAAATATGGTGAATATTGGTAAATATGGCATGAAATAAAGCACAGGAAGGACTTGAATGAAGAATCGCAGTACTGTCGATTCATATATACATATGTTCAGCTGCTATGTGAATGAGAGAAAGCCACCAATGATTCAGCACCTAATAGACTGACAAATGGTTCTTTAGAGAGGAGTGCATGCAGGGTACTGTGCTAGGTGCTGGGACATAGCCTAATGTATAGTTAAGGGTGCCTGAAAGAATGAAGACTTTCAAAGGTGGGTACAGAAGTGACACTGAGAACAACCTTACACGTAAAGGAAAAACAATAAGCAGAGAACAGCAATATGCATAAAACTAAGTTTTAGGCCCAGTGATGTAGTGTTGCTATTTACAGTGTCAAGTGTTGCTATTTATGTTCTGCCCCAACTCTAGTTTTGCATAACGGTTTACTTTTATTGTCAAACTGTCAGTTATCTTCAAGGAACTTTGTCATGTTCTCATAAAATGAATGACAGAAAATATAAATGTTTAAAATTTTTAAAATATATTTATTTGACTGTGCACGGTCTTAGGTGCAGCATGCGGGATCTAGTTCCATGACCAGGGATTGAACCCAGGACCTCTGCATTGGGAGTATGGAGTCTGAGCCACCAGACCACCAGGGCAGCCCCAAACATTTACAATTTTTAAGTAAAATTTTAATTCAGTTGTGGCCTAGATGTGCTTTATAACTGAGATTATTCATAGGATACAAGGCTGATGTCATGAGGTAAAGACCATTTAAAAATGTTAAAGATATACATGCATGTGAATATATATATATATGTATGGGCTTCTTTTGTGGCTCAGCTGGTAAAGAGTCTGCCTGCAATGTGGGAGACCTGGGTTCCATCTCTGGATTGGAAAAGGTAAAGGCCACACACTCCAGTATTCTAACCTGGAGAAGTCCATGGACTGTATAGTCCATGGGGTCATAAAGAGTCAGACACAACTGAGCAACTTTCACTTCACTCACTTCACATATATATATTTGTGTGTGTGTGTGTGTGTGTGTGTGTGTGTGTATTTCACCTGGAAGCATTTTTTACAATTCTCACCTACTATAACCACTGGTGGATGACTCAATAATATTCTTAGAGCTGGGAACAGAAAAATCACATTAAAGGCATCACTTCACAGAAAAGATGGTTTTTTTTTTTTAAGATTATAATGCTTATAACAGAAAGTAGAAGACCCACTTTTTAAAACCATTCCTTTGTAACCTAAGCCACAGAAAAGAGACAGTGGAGAGTGCAAGACCACACTGATGGACTGATCGTGGGACACAGCACCCCTGCTAACTCCTCACAGAATCCCCAAGTATAGAAAACTAGAATGCTGTGGTCCTCTTGTCATTCCTGTGTCTTCCTTCCTCGCCCACCTCTGCCTTCAACCATGAACAGTGCCGCAATGGGCTTCAGTAGCCTTTTTAGCAATAGGATGGGGGAACTCAGAAGACAAACTAGGTGCCCAAAGGTGGACCTGAACATAGGTTATTAAAAGATAATGTCAAGTGATCCTTCAGTTCAGGTCTTAATTTTGATTTTAACTACACACAACATTACTATATATTAATCTGTTCTAAGATACATTGTTTGAGAACAGAGTCTTCTAAATTTAACTCCACCTTCTTATTGTTGAGTCAAATCACATTTCCTTTCTCTACAATCCCATGACATATACCAATTCCATTACATTTTACATTATTAATATTTTATTATATTACAACTCTACTACATATATCAAGAATAGCATTTATTGTATTATGTTATGGCCATTAACATGTCTAGTCAAAGCAATGGCTTTTCCAGTAGTCATGTATGGATGTGAGAGTTAGACTATAAAGAAAGCTGAGCGCAGAATTGATGCTTTTGAAGAGGTGTTGGAGACGACTCTTGAGAGTCCCTTAGACTGCAAGGAGATCCAACCAGTCCATTCTAAAAGAGATCAGTCCTCGGTGTTCATTGGAAGGATTGATGTTGAAGTTGAAACTCCAATACTTTGGCCACCTGAGGCAAAGAGCTGACTCATTTGAAAAGACCCTGATGATGGGAAAGATTGAGGGCAGGAGGAGAAGGGGATGACAGAGGATGAGATGGTTGGATGGCATCACTGACTCAATGGACATGAGTATGTGTAAACTCTGGGAGTTGGTGATGGACAGGGAGGCCTGGCGTGCTGTGGTTCATGGGGTTGCAAAGAGTTGGACATGACTGAGTGACTGAAATGAACTGAACTGAACTGATGGTCATTAACATACAGAAATACATAACTGACTCTCCACACTGCTCCTTGCATCCCCATACTGGCCATTGCAATATTCATCTCCAGACACTACAGCCTATATGAATAGTATCTCCTGCACTTATGAAAATGTACAGTCAAATACAAACCATGAGTTCTTTGAGAAGAGGGCGTATTTAACTTTACAGGCCTACTGAGTAAATCATGCCAAATACATGAAATTCACTCAGGAAGTTCTCTATCTACACTCACTCCCTTGGTGATCTCATTCTAATTCATGGTTTTAGTTATCATCTATATGCTAACAACTTGCCCAATACATGTCCAATACAGACTTCTCTTTCAAAGTCTAGACTTAAGTATCTGATTGTCTATTTGATGTCTGTGCTTGGATATTTAGCAACTTTCTCAAAATTCACATGTGTAAAACTGAACTCCTTCCCCAACACCCCTATTCAATAAAACAAAATAAAATAAACAAAACAAAACCAACCTGTTCAACCTTAGAATCACTGTGGACTCCTCTTTCTCTCAAAATTCTCTTCCAATCCATTGGCTCTACTTCAAAACACAAACAGACTTTTACCATCTCTCACTGCCTCTACTGCCTGTACTCTCGACCCTTTTCTAGTTAAGTTATGGTCATCATTTCTCAGCGGATTAACTGCAGCACCTCATTAACAGGTTTCCCTTCATCCACCTTTGACCCCTTCCATCTGTTCTCACCCAACAGCCCGAGTGATCCTTTTTAAAATGTAAGTCATTTCATGTCATCCCTCTGGTCAGCAATGACTCCCATCTCACTCATGGAAAGGCCATACATAATCCAGGCCTCACTGCGTCCCCAGCAGCTCTCTCACGATTCTCTCCCTCACTGATTCTACTCTGGCCACAATGGTTTCTGTTTCCCAAACATGCCAAGACTGTCTCAGCTTTCAGCCTTTGTGCTAGCTCTGCCTGGAATGCTCCTCCCTCAGATGCTACGTGGCCAACTTCCTTCACATGGTCACTCAGTCATCTGACCACTCTAATACAGAGGTCTGCTCCTCCTGACGCCAGCATCAAAAAACAAACAAACAAATACACAAACACACAACACTTCTCTCACTGCTCTTTTTTTCTTTTTTACCAAAGTACTTATCAACTTCTAACATAATACTTTATCTACTTCTTTTTTATATTTATTGCTTCCTGTCTTTTC